TATATATACACAGTATGTATATGTGTGTGTGTGTGTACGAAATTTTAAATCAATAAATCATATTTACAAGTTCACAATAGTTTTACCATTACCATTACGTCCTCTTTCAAATCCAATCATGTTTTTGCCAAGCTCCACCCTCAGCCAAGCTCTCCCAATCACAGTTAGGACAAAGTCTTTGGAGGACCGACACTGTCATAATTAGAAATAAAGCAGAGATTTATAAATAGACTAATAAATAAATCAATACACTTAAATGAGTTGCATTCGGGATAAGTGTGTAGATGCGTGTAAGAGAGGTGTGTGTTCTTGTATTCAGGAAGGGTGAAGAACATACTATAAGGCAGCATTTATCTGCTCTTCACTGGAGCAACACGTATCATACGGTGCTTATCTCAGCTGCTCAGTATTTACCATTACTCATCTTATACTAACCTGTGGTTTCTCTGTGTCCTAGAAGATCCTGTTCCTCTCCGAGACCCGTCTGCCGACCTGCCTGTTCCCTCTGGGTTACAAGCTCACTCACCTGCCTCCTGTAACACTGCCTGCTTCCTGTAAGACGCTGCCTGCCTCCTGTAAGACACTGCCTGCCTCCTGTAAGACACTGCCTGCCTCCTGTAAGACACTGCCTGCCTCCTGTAAGACGCTGCCTGCCTCCTGTAAGACGCTGCCTGCCTCCTGTAAGACACTGCCTGCCTCCTGTAAGACACTGCCTGCCTCTGCCCTCCTGAAAAACACTCAGCTGTTCAGGTCCTCTGTCTGCAAGTCACTCGCTCCTGGAACCCCTGTGGATAACTTACCTGTGGACACTTCCCCTCCATGTTCCGTCTCCCTCTGGATCAAGTAAGAACCTCCCTTTTACAAAGCTGAACTCTCATCAGATCATTACCTACACTCACTCGTTCCTCTCCTCTGCAGATCTGGAACCTCATTTGACCATCACTATAAATAAAGACCTTTTTGTAAAACTTGTCTTTGAGTCTGTTTGCTCAGTTTTGCTCGCCTTTCACATCCAACTTATATTATGACACCAAAGTCCTTTTCTGTTATTTTTAATTTACTTAGTAATTTAGTTTCAAGTACACCTCTGGCAGGAAGTGTTTGTGTGTATTTAGGTGTGTTCAGGAGAGGGCTATTTGGTGTTCAGGTATCAGCAGAGGTTCACTCAAATGCCACAATGAGAATGATCAGATTTCAAGAGAAGTGCTCTTTGTTGGCAGGAGAGATGCGTTCACATGTCGGCAGTGGTGCGTTTAAGTGTTTAGGGGAGCTGCGTTCAGGTGTCGTGTGATGTATTCAGATGTCAGAGATGCGTTCAGTTTCTGCTTACACCTTTTTCATTAGGAAAAAAAAATCTATGACACAAACAAGACAAAAACAAGTTTCTACATAATTTAATTTTCAAAATAAATATTTGTGTTTTTACTAAGAATAACAAAAACAATAACGGTTAATAAAATAAACTTTTTTGATCCTCAGTAAACAAACTTAAATACATACGCTATTATTCAAAGTGTTTACAATAAAATAGGAAGTTAGAATTTACAAACATTGCTGTCCCTCAACACCAAACTATTAAATCTAAGCAGGTATTTCACTAATAAACAGCTTTAGTATAAATCTATTTACCCTCAAATACATTTATACAGATATATTCTCTTTTTACATAAATTCTCTCACTTTCAAACTTTATCTGATATAAAAATATTTTAAATCAACAAGTTCAGCCTTTTCTAACTGTTTGACAATGACTAATAAATAAAGCTTGTTGGTTCTGTTAGTTACCAGCAAATGTGGTGTAAATTTGTGAGAAAATACATCCTAAAAACACCTTAAATGTGTTCAGGGAAATTCAGCTTTACCTTAAAACCTGCTTTAACATGAGGAGATTTGAAGGTATTTTTAGTGTCTGAAATATTGTCTCTGGTTTTGTTTCTCCTCAGCATAAACTTAAACTCTTCCATCTAGGAAGTCTATTGTGGTCCCCATGAAATTGTACAGGTCTGGATTTTGGGGTTCAGGTTCATGTTTGGGCCCCATCTCCTCTCACGTGTCGCCTTGAGCCACGCCCAGTGGGTGGAGGTGTCTTGAGTGCAACAACTTCCTGCCCAGCCAATGTAGAGCCCGGGGGTACCAGTGCACCCCGCCCCCTTGACCCCAGGTGCTCCCGGTCAAGCTGTACATCAGCCGAAGGGGGGTGAAGGCCCAGTGAGCCAGCTGGTGCTGGTCCACCATGGCGTAACAGGATGCCGCCACCCCGTCCACCACGATGGTCCCCTGCTGGGTCAGTGGGGCAAACAGCCCCGTCTTCACCGCCACGCTGACCCGGCTGATCCGAGACAGTCGCCCGGTTTTACCGCCTGACACCAGCATGCACTGACCCAGTTGAGCAGCGCTGGCGTACGTCGTCCTGAGGGTGCCGGGGACTGGCTCCGCACCCTCTGAACAGTTCCCCTCAGATACAAAGACGAGATGGGCAGCGGTGAGCGAGATCTGGGACCCAGCTTGGGTCCGCAGAGTGAAAAACAGTCCGTGGGCTGTCGGGTCTTGGTCCAGGAAGGTCAGGACTTCGCTGAACACCAGGTCCCCGTCCAATGAGGCCAGCACCCTCTCGCCGGGCTGCAGGTCGCCGATGGACTTCCGAGCGCCACTTTCCAACAGTGCTGAGGCGTTGCCATGGAAACAGCCTCCAGACTTCGCCGCCACTGAGTGATCTGATGAGGAGACAGAGATGTTCAAAACTTCCAGACATGAACAATAAATCTTACAGTTTAGCGGATCTTTTTATGTTTTTGGACAATGAAACATTGAGTTTATTCCAATAATTTTATTTATCTGGATATTAAATACAGGGTTTAGACAATAAAACTGAAACACTTGTCATTTTAGTGTGGGAGGCTTCATGGCTAAATTGCACCAGCCTGGTGGCCAATCTTCATTAACTGCACATTGCACCAGTAAGAGCAGAGTGTGAAGGTTCAATTACCAGGGTAAGAGCACAGTTTGGCTCTAAATATAACAATGCACACAACATTATGGGTGACATGCCAGAGTTCAAAAGAGGACAAATTGTTGGTGCACATCTTGCTGGAGCATCTGTGACCAAGACAGCAAGTCTTTGTGATGTATCAAGAGCCACTGTATCCAGGGTAATGTCAGCATACCACCAAGAAGGACCAACCACATCCAACAGGATTAACTGTGGACGCAAGAGGAAGCTGTCTGAAAGGGATGTTCAGGTGCTAACCTGGATTGTATCCAAAAAACATAAAACCACGGCTGCCCAAATCACGGCAGAATTAAATGTGCACCTCAATTCTCGTTTCCACCAGAACTGTCTGTCAGGAGCTCCACAGGGTCAATATACACGGCCGGGTTGCTATAGCCATACCTTTGGTCACTCGTGCCAAACGCTGGTTTCAATGATGCAAGGAGCACAAATCTTGGGCTGTGGACAATGTGAAACATGTATTGTTCTCTGATGAGTCCACCTTTACTGATGTCCCCCCATCCGGAAGAGTTATGGTGTGTAGAAGCCCCAAAGAAGCGTACCACCCAGACGGTTGCATGCCCAGAGTGAAGCATGAGGGTGGATCAGTGATGGTTTGGGCTGCCATATCATGGCATTCCCTTGGCCCAACACTTGTGCTAGATGGGCGCGTCACTGCCAAGGACTACTGAACCATTCTGGAGGACCATGTGCATCCAATGGTTCAAACATTGTATCCTGAAGGCGGTGTCATGTATCAGGATGACAATGCACCAGTACACACAGCAAGACTGGTGAAAGATTGGTTTCATGAACATGAAGGTGAAGCTGAACATCTCCCATGGCCTGCACAGTCACCAGATCTAAATATTATGGAGCCACTTAGGGGTGTTTTGGAGGAGTGAGTCAGGAAACGTTTTCTTCCACCTGCATCACGTAGTGATCTGGCCACTAACCTGCAAGAAGAATGGCTTAAAATCCCTCTGACCACTGTGCAGGACTTGTTTATATGTCATTTACAAGATGAATTGATGCTGTATTGGCCGCAAAAGGAGGCCCTACACCATACTGAAATTATTGTGGTCTAAACCAGACGTTTCAGTTTCATTGTCCAACCCCTGTGTTTCTTTTGTTAGATTCTAATACATAGTTGTGTATTTGCTGTATAAACTGTTTGTCACATGTGTTTGAGTGTGTTGCTCCAACTATCTCAGGTCACTTCACAGAACAAAGTAACCCCGGATGAGTGGTGGTCAGAATAAAAAAACTGGAGGAAGATAAAGACCAGGTGATGAATCACCTGAAGGAGGAAGAAACAGATCCAACCAGAGGGTTAATAATAGAACAGGAAGTTACCAGTTTCAATCAGATTCTTCTTTAATCAAAATTTTAATCAGACAGGTTCTGTTTAATCAGGTCCTATAAACAGCAGAACTCTGGTCCAGTCATCAGAAACACATATTAATACATTAGTGGCTCACCAAAACATCTCTTCTTTTACAGTTTCAGCAGATAATCTCAAACGTACAGGATCTTCTATCAGATCCAATCACTGGTCGCTTTCAATCAAATGTGGAGATTTTATCGTATTACACAAATCCATTCATGTCCTGAAACCACAACTGCAAAGTGGTGGAAAATTTCCAGAATACTTTTTAGGAACTTCCCATCAGACGTTAACCTGGAGAATCCTGAAAATTTTCCAAATAACTGGGAATTAACTTGAACCAAATGACGAGTAAACTCAGCATGTTGTTTATTCAGAGGTGGATAATGAGTTTGATCCAAAAAGTAACCAATTTAATGACCCAATTCACATGACTGAGTTACAACCACACAACTTAAGAGATATCAATGGGTTTGGACCATTTTCACATCCTTCTTGTTTGCTGTTTCTCCAGGGGTCGCCCCAGTGAGCCAATGAAGATTTGGCTACAGTTTTTACGCCAGGTGCCCTCCCTGATGCAAGAACACGACCACGTCTTGCTCCAGCATGTTTATTATTGCTAACATTTTTATGAAATTTCCCTTTGGGTTTAATAAAGTATATTTGAATTGATTTTAACTGAAGTGTTTTCTTCATAGGATTATTTTATTACTCTTAGCTATGTCCAAACTTAAGACCTGTCCAACTTGGGTGTCTCACCTGAAGACAATGTTCATGCTGTTCACAGGTGACAAGACTATTGGATTATCAACAATAACTTATTGATGTTTATTTCATAAAACAATCACGTAAAACAGCTAGATGTTTTAAAAGGAAAATATATTGGTTACAACTAATGATGATCTAAACTTATTGACTTCTAATCATTTTCAAGACTTAATCAAATAATTATGACTTTAACTAGTTGATGAATTAACTTTTATACAATGTGAATACTGTTTATACAGGCTCCAGATGCAGCTAATTGCAGTGATCTGTGTCTAAACTGTAGCTGAGATGAAAAAGTACACGGCAGAATTCATGTAGACATTTTGCTCCATGCAAATATTACAACTGGGGGAAATACCAACTTGCAATAATTAATAATTTGTACTAAATTGTAATGATTCAGTCTGTGCAGCAGACTTACAGACTCTGTAACAAAAACTGCTGCAAAAGTTAACGTTTACTAGCTAATTCAATAACTAACAGTGATTACATCAGCTTTACAAACTGTAACATCATTAGCTTCAGTTCTGGTCAGATCATATTCACAGTGAAGTAAATTAAATCAAATCTGTTTACCTGTAAAATAACATGTTTTCTCTTGTGTTGGTTCATTCATGACACACACAGCTTTTTGTGCATTCTAAAGCTTATACACATTCTAATATATTGTTATTATGTTACATACATTTTATTATTATTTATTTTTTAAAACAGTCACTCCTTACTCAGAAATCTAGTTGTCTTATATATCTCTACAATTTGAACCTGATGCCCTAAACCTAATGCAACTATAAAGGATAAATACTTAAAAAATCACCAAAGCTTTTCTCAAACAGAACTAACAAACAAATATAGTGCAGAATATTTTATATAAATAGTTGTTTCATGTTTTTTTTTTTGGACTGGTTAGAAATCTCTTCCTTTCATACCACTCCACTTTATTCTCCTGTCTGAGCTGCTGTCAGAATGAGAGGCAGGAGGCTCTGCTAGGCAGAGTGAGACATAGGTTCATGCTGCCTCTTGATTCATTTGCATACTAAACAGTGATTGGTTGTTTACTTGGAGGGACCGGCCTGATCCACAGCACACAGATGAGAGAAAACGTTTCCATTTATTTTCAGACTTGATTTGAGGCAAGGCATTCATTAGAAGAGGCACTGCCCCCTGCTGCCTCATCACTGTCTCCAAACAGCACAGCTGGTCTCACTACTCACCAGAAAAACCTTCATTTGACCTTTGCTGCCATCCTTTTGTCACAAATCTCTCCTAAGAGGTTCCTCCATTCACAACATCCTGCCTGGACTCCCTTCAACACACTCCTCGTTTTCCTGGACAGTCGACCTGAAGTATTTGAAGTCCTGCACCTTTGTGAGCTGTGTTTCAGCCTCGCTGTTCCACCTGTTCCCCTATCATTCACACACATCCTCACTGATTTCCATCCTTCTTCTTTCAAGTGCACACCTCCACCTCTTCTCACCACAGAATACATAATCTGCAGACATCATAGTCCACAGGGATTCTTGCCTGACCTAATCTGTTAAATAAGATTTCTCCATTCGAAAAAAAAGAAATGCCCATATTATTATTATTATTATTATTATTATTATTATTATTATTGGCATTTGTTTTTTGTGATATTTCTTGTTCAATTTCTTGTTAATCAGAGGTAATCTTCTGTTTTTCCCCCTTCTTTATCTGCATCAGCTCTGCAACTTTGTTGCCCCCTGGTGTTAAAACTCCCCCAAACAGGCACCTTTAAAATCTGTCAATGAAAAAAACCAACGTTTGGAGGATTTATTCTAAACTTGACTGCATCTTTTGTTTTTTATTTTGGTTTGGTTTCAAAGAATTTTTGATACGGGGATATGCAGTCTGGTCCTTAGGGTCCACTATCCTAAATGTTTTTACAGATCCCAACACACCTGATTTGAATGAAAGTGATTATTAGGCTTCTGCAGTACATGAAGAGGCAACAGAATCACTGAATCATGTGTGTTGGAACAGGGAAATAACTAAAACATGCAGGATAGGACCAGAATTTGTACACCCCGTTATAAGAAAATAATAGAGAAAAGAAAAGAAAAGGAAAAAAAAAACAGAAATAAAAAAAATACCAACTTGATTGGTTTCCTTTTTGATCAGGTCAAGGACTGGGCCCTCGCCACCCGATCTGGGGGTGATAGGAGAGACAGGAAGCGAGAAATGGGAGAAAGAAAAGGGAAATCTGGGTTACCACTGAGTAACACAAAAATAATAAAGTGTCACTAGTGATGTAAGTGTGTTTTATTAACAAGACCATGAGACTTTCTGCACTTGTGTGTGTTTTCTTGATGTTCCGTTAGCTGAACGTTCTATCAGCAAGCTTCCATGTTACACCATGCTGAGTCAGCAGAAAGGAAACTGACTGGACTCAACCTGGTTCAAGGTGGCCACCACATCAACATTAGCTGCAGTCAATTTCACATATTCTGAGCTAAAACGAGTTAGAGCTGAAAGTCATCCCAACACATACTTTGAGACTTCACAGAGTATTGTGTACATAACTTTATTACCCAGGTTTAACCAAAAAACAATTCCATCTCCATCACTTCATGAGATGATCTTAGTCTAAAACTTGGGCATTAAAGGTAGTGGGCGATATGTATTCCTTAAAGGAATGCTAGACCTTTCAATTTTTATTTTCTCTATATGTAAAACCTCAAAACTTAACTCATGGTTATTTGTGAAAGCAGAATCACAGATTTATATTACAGACTAGAGAACAGCTTATAATTTAGACTCATCTGAACGAAACAGGGAGTGAGAGGACAGCCAACATGCTGGGAAAAAAGCACAAATGTTTGAAAGTAGAAAATGCTGAAGCAAGTTGTGTGGGTTTTATTTGTATAAAACCCTTAGTTTTTTTTAATGAAAAATGAGCCATGGTTGGAAAACATTTGAGTTATTTTTTTCAACAAAATCCTGTTGAGCTAGCTGAAACTTGAAAAGCACCTTCAAGCTAAATTAAAAACTTTTTTTTGCTCAAACCCATAGTTAGTATAAGTACCGAATGACTTCATTCATTCAAAGAAGCTGAAACTGAGTGGTTAATGTAAACAATTAACTAATGCCAAAGTTAAAATGAGCAGAAACAGATGCAAAACAGAGGCTAAAATTCGCAAAGAAATTTTTTTTGTGAAACTCTAGCTAAATTTAGCAATACTGTATTTAAAACCCAAAGAAAGCAAAATGGTATGATAACAAAAGCTGAAAGAGCAAAGCTGTCTCTAAAAACTAAAACATATGGAAGCTTCGCTAAAAGAAAAAAAGTTGCAGCTAAAAGCCAAAAACGTTAAACTCCAGCCCAAAACTAAATGATGTAAAATGTTAGCTAAAATAAGAAAGACTGTAGATAAAAGCTAAAAAAGCTAAACTGTAGCTAGAATCTAAAAGATTCAGTATGTTAGCTAAAAGAAGAAAAATGCAGCTAAAAGTTAAAAAGATAAAACTGCAGCTAAAAACAAAAAGTAAAGAATGTTAGCTTGAAGTAGCAGAATGGTAGTTCAAAATAGCACAATAGTACTTCTCATATGATTTCCACTGCCTTATGCATCGCAAAGAAAACCATACTCTTAAATTGGAAAAATAAAAATGATCTTAGCATTAATCAGTATAGAAATCTTTTAGATCATTATAGTCTTAAAAAAGCCTCTGCCACCACATCAGATAAGTCTGTTTGGGCTCCTTTGATTAGTTTCATCTCATGGTGAGGGCGGGGAG